GGCAGTAAGGGCAGTAGTGGTGTGAACTATTTGGGAGGAAAGGAATGGAAGGATCTTCAATGAGAATAGTAGTAGATCAAAAGAGCAACTCTTTGAGGCCATAAAAATCAAAGCTGTGCGTTAGCTAAAGAGACTTGATATTTTCCAAGGCTATTCGGTGGATGATATGCTAAGGACATGGAATAAAGTGGCTCATAATAATACAGAAAAGGAAAAGCTGTTTATGGAGTAGAAACCCCAGACAGTTTACAGAATTAAATTATATTTTGATGACAGCTCCATGGGAAGTTCCGGTATGGCAGGTATTATAGGTGTCTTTAGAGATGGTGCAGTTAGGGTGTCGGCCATGTTTTTGGGGCCTTTAGGATTAGGTGACTCATTAAAGGTCGTGAAGGGATGGGAGATCCATCATATGGATAGCCAAACCCTGCAGGAGGGTTGGCTGAAATTTCAAAAATTTCCCATCCGGGAATCGTATTCTCAATTTAGAAAACTGCATTTTCAAGGTTCGTTCTTGTAACCAAACTGGACCAAATCTGAAACCAAGATTAGGGAGAGGTATACCTGATACGGAATCCACGCAAAATTGCTCCTCCCAACGCAGGTGTTCACGCCCTAAGAGTGTACCAAATCCTCCCTCCACTGAAGATGACACAACTTAGGATGAGGCATGATCAACATATAGTTTTTCACCAAGAACCTTTGATTCTTCAGCAGAATCGAATGGGGTGGTGATCACATCTTCAGAATTGTTTCTTCTAGCAAGAAACAATATCAAGATCAAATCTTGATTAGTTCCAAGAAATGGAGATCGAATAGGGTAGGGCGGCAAGAGCAGGGAGAGAAAGAACTGAAGGCAGAAATAATCAAACTGAATTGTCTTCTATGTTGTTTATTTTTCAGATCCGCCCTACTCTTTATTTATAGCCTCAAAGAGATGATCTCCTAATCTAATTAGGAGTTTCTTGATCCAAATCTTTATTTGGATTTGAACTCTTTAATTGATAAGGATAATCCCTTATCTTATCTGCAGATCAGGATTAGCTTTTCCTAATCAAATTAGGAGTTCCGTGATCCAAATCTCTATTTGGATCTGGACTCTTTAAGTGGATAAGAGTTATCCTCTTATCCTTGTCTGTTAATCCATACCCAGATTCGCCCCTATTTAATTAATCCAATTAGCCTAGTTCAAAATGGGCTTTAGGCCCATTAAGTTTTCAGGCTCACTTCCTTTTAATGCTGGCTAGCTTGGCTCTCTTTGTATGGCGTGAGACCCTATCATTGATCTCCACATCAGCCACATGGGTTCAGCCTAACCTCTGTTACAAGGCCTGGCCGAATTCACTACTGAATACAGTGAACCCCTGAGTCCATCACCATGGGCTTTTAACGGGCCCAACATTTACACTAAATGGTTAATGTCTCATTGGAGGGCTGAAACCAATATATTGTACCATTCAGTTTTCACCTCTGAATTAATTAATAAGATTTCTTTGCTGATTAACAAAACACCATCTGTACCCTTCTCTGAAGATTTCATTCAAGGTTTGTTGAGTGAAAAGAAGGGTTTTGTGAAGTTCTGAGCATAGTTTTCAAGGCGCCAAGGCAAGGCTACTCGCCTGGGTAGTGGATTTTTTTTTAAGTAAAATCATGTATCCTTGGGTAGTACCCTAGGTTCCATAATCATATTTCCTGAATAAATATCCATAGTTTTCATAATAAAAATATAAACTTCATGTTAAAGTATAGAAAATCAACATGTTCCAACATATTCAAGAGAAGAAAAAGAAGAAAGAAGAAAATTCGAAAAATATAGGGGCTGAACCCCTATTTCTGTTATAGGAAAAATATAGAAAGAGAAGAAGAAGAAGAAATTAGTATAAACAGGTATCGGATCTGATAAGGAGTTGGGATATGTTAGGTCTTTCAAAGCTGGTTAGAAGTGTGGTGGGCTATCCCTGCAGCTGTAATCAGTTCCATATGGGTGGAGAGAAACAGAAGAATCTTTCAAAATAAGGAAAAAGAGGTGGACTGTCTTGTGTCTTGTGCAGTGGGAAAATTAGTGTCTTGGACTGCAGGCTTGAAAGGTTTCCATCCTAGGGGCTTGGGGTCTCAGTTAAGGTCTATTAGTATATTTGAGTTGTAATGTAAGCTGAGAGGTTGTTCTCAGCCTTTGCTCCCTCCTGGGAGCTTCTTTGTATGGTTATGATTTCAGTCAATAAATTTACCTTACCTTTTTCAAAAAAAAAGAAGAAATTAGTATATAAAAACACAAAATTAGTAAAGAAAAAGAAGAAAATGTGTTGATTGGACAACATTTTATGTTCTTTCTTACTTATTGGTTCAGGTTTTGAAGTCTTTGAGGGTTTAATACAGCATTTAGCAATGTTTGTGTTGATTAAACCCTAACAAATAAGAAAATAACAAAAAGAAATTAGTATATAAACACACAAAATGAATATTTTAGTTTAAAAAAATGTCTATTTTATAATTTCTTTTTTGATCAATAACACAATTCATTAAATATCACAATAATTACAGGGAGGAAGACAAAACTTTCTTATCTTCCAATTACAACATGGGCCCCAAGAGAAGAAACAAGAGAGAAATGTCTATTTCATAATTATAACCTTAGAAAATTAAGAATATAAAAGTTTGTTATAACACGCTATAGAAAACTGCTTGGCGATTAGGCAAGGTGAGACTCCAAGAGCGCCTTGTCGCCTAGGCGTTGCCTTGACAACTATGGTTCTGAGAGTGGTAGGTTTGATTTTGTAAGGGTTGTAAAGTGTTGATTGTTGAATTAAAAGAGTATAGGCAGATGAAATTTGGAGAGATGTGAAGTTTGCTTGAGGTCATATATGAAATTATTTTGTCTCAATTTTTTTCGAGTAGGTGGAAGTTTCGGTATAAGGTTGTTATGGTATGATGAGAAATTTGGAAAAGGTGTAAGGTGGAGTTCTTGTCGCTTTTATCTTCATGAGGTTGTTTGGTTTGGTGTGTCGAAATCAATGAAGTCTATCATTGGGGGTCTAGCTTCATTTGGGTATTTCTTGTTCCTAATTTTTAGGTCTGGTGGGTTTTCTCTTGCTCGTCTTTTCCGTTTTTTTTTTTTTTGTTTTTTGGTCCTTGCTTGTCTTTTCCTTATCTAAGTGATTTATCACCTGAGCTTGTTCCTTCTTTTTATCTCAATGGAGTTTCTTTTTACTATAGACACACACATTCATGGGTTATTCATAAGGGAAATAGTCAACGTATGAGGGATTATAGTTTGAACAAGGATACCAACAAGGTGATTGCTGGGAAAAAATAGCGTGTAGTTTGTTAACCAGAAAAGTAGTTCAGTGATGACTATATATTTTCTATATATTTATGTATATTATATATATTATGTATATTATAAATTAATAAATATGCATTATATATAAATAATATTTATAATATATTATATATTATTTAAAATATAATATTATATATATTTATAATTTTTTATTATATATTTATATATTTTTACAATAAATATTATAAAAACTAAAAAATCGAAAAACGATGAACCGAGCTGACGGTTAACCGGTTTGTGAACCAAACCGGTACTCCCCATGTGCCTAGGCAATGTTTGGAAACATTGGAGTATGTTTCTTGTGCAAGGTTTTATAAACCACATATATGATTTTTATTATAACGTCAAAGTCCAATAAATTTTGGTTTAACCATAAACAATTTGTATTGATAAAACAAGCATAAAGAATGTGTCATTTACAATTCTTATGACAGATTCGTGTCATTAAATATTTAGTAATATTTCTGCTATATCCAATGAGAAAAGTACGTTTCAGCTGTACAAACTATTATGCCAGTTTTTTTATTATTATTTTTGTGGTGCCATCTTTCCACAATTACCTTACATTTGCGTTGCCTAAAATGTTAGGGTTGTGTATATCTTCTACACCCCTCTCGGTAAGTCAAACAATTGGTTTGTATCTATTAATAATGCATAAATTTGTATATTTTACAATGGTTACTAACTTACTATAGAGGTCTTGTAATTCTTTTATATAGGGGGTTTGTCTCTATCACCTTATATATTGATACACATCTTCCTTACCTATCTGAAAAGATAGGGGGTTCATTTCAAGCAATGTTTTAAAACGTGGAGGCGTGACGCGAGGCGTGACGCGAGGCGTTCCACTACCTAGAGGCGTGAGGTGTAGTTCAGAACGCAAGAGGTGTAAGCCTCTCGAACACAAGGAGGCGTAAGCCTCCTCAAGAGGAGGGGGGTTAGGAGGAGGAAGGGGGGTATCACTTTTTCTTTATTTTTAATAAAAAGCTTTTATATTAAGAAGAATAAAGATGCATAGCATTAGATGAAAGGGGGGGTGTTGACGCGGAGGCGAGCGAGTGAATCATAGGGGCAGGGGGCAAACCACATTCTTTCCCCTTATCTTTTCTTCCCTTCCCTTCCCTTCCCTTTCCTTTCCTTTTCTTTCCTTTCCATTTTTTTCTTCTCTTTATTTTTCTTTCCCTTCCCTTTCTTTTCCTTTCCTTTTTTTTCCTTTTTCTTTTTTTTTCTGCCTTTTTATATAAGATGTGCATGAGGCGCATGAGGCATACACCTCTAGCATGCCTTGTAAAAAAAGCACACGAGGCGTACGGCTCAGAGGTGTCAGCGCCTCTGGCATATGCCTCAAGACGTTTTGGGAGCGCCTCGCCTAGAGGCGTACCTCCAGGTCCTCCCACACCTTTTAAAACACTGATTTCAAGTCTCTACTGCTAGAGATGTGGAAATTTTTAAACACTATATTTTAATGGCTTTGAATCGAGTGCCTCTCACTGAGAGGTGGTTTCACAATTACCATGCAAGGGATGGTTGTGAATTTATTGAGCTAAGGAAATTTAGATAATCAGTTGATACCTCAAATCTGTATAAAGCATAGTTGTTAAACCAAGGTTGTGCTGCCACATTGATATATAATATATGTCATTTTATCATTTGATTGCAGGTGCCAGGTGTTCCTGTGATATTTGGTTTGAGAAACTCCTTGTTCCTTGAGCCTCCGTCAGCATTCCAACGCCAATTCGTTAAATCTACAGAAGAGGAACGCTTACATATGACAGAAATGGAATATAAGATGATAAAAAAGAAGGAAAAGAACAAATTAGAGGCCAAAGTTGCAACAGATTCCCCTGATGCACATGAAGGTTTAGTAGATCAAGTTGTAGTGCCAGAGACTGTAAATCTCAGAAAAGTTAGAAGAAAAACACTTGGTGTAACAGATAAAGCTAAATTTAAGAGAAAGAAAGCAAAGGTTAGACTCTGTTTTCACATCATCCTTTTTTATGTGGTTGTCTTATAATGTTCCTTAACATGGTCAGATGGTTTTTCTTTGTTCCATGCTTTCTGGGGAGAAGCATGCTAAAATGTTGGAAATCTTGCTTGCTAGTCTCGAATCATATGCATTGTTGTTGGAAATTGCATAGATGATCTAGGATGTTCAATAACTTTTTTTTTTTACAAAATGTCCTTAACTGATAACTTCCTATTCCATTTGTATATAGGTTTAGTTTAGGTGTGGACATTGTTCAATTGTTCAACACGGTCCATCCAAATTCCAACAACTTGAATATTAAATACTAATTGCTGAAGCCATAATAATAAATACTAATTGGTAACACGTTATTAGTTCGACCAGATCTGATTTCCTTCCTGAATTAAAAGAAAAAGAGAAGATGTTGATAAAAAAAAACGGGAAAAAGAGAGAGAGAAAAGGAAGGAATGGTTCGAATGGTCTTTGAGAGGGAAAAGTCACCCTCTCTTAGCCGACCATAATATATATAAATAATAGGTTTGTAACATTTAAGTACAAAGACCTTTCTGCCCCTCTTTATGTATGGGATACTCTACTGACTTCAGACATAATAGACAAAACTCTTTTTTTTTTTTGATGAATATTGACAAAACTCTTTTAAGGTCTGATGTTTTCTTTTTGGCCAGTTTTTTTGTTGGTTTTGGCCCGTCTCTCTCTCTATACATGCTTCTGCTTACAGTTATAGTGCCTGTTTGGGAGGGTTTTTGAGACATGGCTTTCCACGTTTTGAGCTAGGCCCCACACGAAACTCATAAAAGCTGTATTTGTTGAAAATCCAGAAGGCCAATATTGGCATTCCACACGCAACAAATGCAATTGTAAACTGAAGCTATTCCAGGTAGCTTGTTCGGAACATAGGTGCTCAGCAACCATGACTCAATCAATGCAACGCACCTCCAATGCAGAAGCCGTCCTAAAGAGGCTCATAAGACCGTCTATGATACTTTTCTTTATTTTTTGTAGTTTTCTTAGTTTTTGATAGATTTTTTTCCTAAATTATGTTAAATTTAAGAGTGGAATATATATTATTTTATTTTATTTCAATGAGTTTGGATCGGATTAGGTCCAATCCGACCTATTTGCATTTGAATTGGATTGGATTGGACCTTCTTATTTCCAGATTTGGATTGAGTTGGGCTTGGTCCATTTGTCAGTGGTTATTAATTGAATCAGATTGGGTTGGACCAAAACTCGTCCAATTGACACCCCTTGTAATATATGGTGTGCAATTCTGCCTTGCAAGATGTTTCTCTCTAATGAAGTGATGATCTACCTCAATATGCTTGGTATGATTGTGTTGGACAGGGTTATAAGCTATACTAATTGCAAGTTGGCAAACGTATAAGCTCATTGGTCCTTTGGTAGTAAAGCCCAACTCTCCAAGTTAAGTTTTAAGCCACAGTTTTTTTTTTTTTTTTCTCTTGAGAATTAGTATAGTATCATTTATATTGGCCAAAATGCATGTACACAGGGATTATACAATCATTGCCCATGCATCTCTATACCCCCAAATCCTGCTTTAAAGAAAGGCTGTAATTTCTATTTTTAAACAAATTGTTTACAGCAAGCCAAGGAAATATTTTCCCAAGATTTTCTAAATCACTGTTTGTGGAGCTACTTTTATTCTTGAAGATCCTTGCATTTCATTCCTTCCATATGCACAAAAAAACCGCTGTAGGAGTGATGTTCCATGCCAATTTATCCCATTTAATTAGACTTTCAACTCTCCAATCTTTCACAAAATCCACTATGGATTTTGGGAAGCAGCTTTTAACCTCAAACAGGTTCCCATTTTTTTATCATACCTCAAAATTAAATCTGCAATGTAGTAGTAGATCATTTATTGATTCAATTTTCCCCTCACAGAGAACAGAGTTTGTAGAATCCAACAATATACCCTTGCTTACCAAATTGTCCCGAGTTAAAATTCTGTTCAAGTAGGCAGTCCATTCAAAGAGTACCTGTGTGGGGAAATTCTTGGACCAACCAATTTTAACCTGGATTATCCAGTCTTCTGATCTAGAGATAAAGTTATAAAAGGATTTAGCTGAGAGGTTTCCAGATTTTTCCCACTCCCAAGTTATATTATTTCTCTGATGTCCATTTGAGTGCTATACAGTCTGTGCAGCATTTCCTCCAATGAATCTACTTAACAATCATTCAGATTTCCTCTAAATTGAGGAACCCGTACCCCATTTCCATTCTCCATCTGCATACAATCCACAGATAGATGATACTATTGATTATCTAGATCTTCTCATTCATTCAACTCTCTATCTTGATGTCTAACTGTCTGTGCAGCATTTCCTCCAATGAATCTACTTAACAATCATTCAGATTTCCTCTAAATTGAGGAACCTGTACCCCATTTCCATTTTCCATCTGCATACAATCCACAGATAGATGATACTATTGATTATCTAGATCTTCTCATTCATTCAACTCTCTATCTTGATGTCTAACTGTCATCTTATTAATTTATTGAGACGACTTTAGTGACATTTATAGATAGTGAAAAATTTCTTGGAGGCAGGAGTTTACTCCTGAGTCTTGACAGTTGGGGTCACTCATAGGTAAACAAATGAATAATTGCACGAAAAAGCATTAACACACTAGTTGAAAAAGATAAAAGAATGACATTTGTGCAACTTCTCTGTTTGCAGACCATATGACATTGATTGTGGTTTAGTCAATATGTTATGCACGATATACACATGAATACACGATCATAAAATAATAACTACAAGTATGTGTGATTTCTGGCCGGACTGAGGTGGGTGGAGAATTGTTTAACGCTCAATAGAGAAGTGTTTATGCAGAATCACTTATATTTTGTGTAATATCTGCGCCATTTTAATGATATTGACTGTCTTTTAACAATCTTTCATGATTGACTACAACTTGTATCATTTGTTGTGCTAGTACTTGTTTGTATTGTGATTGTTGTCCATCATATCATTTCGTTGCTATTTTTGTTTTTCTATTTTTCCGATGGTCACCTGTCCAAATATGTATTATTTTTCCTCCTTGCACAGGCTCCAAATCCACTTTCATGTAAGAAGAAAAAGATTCGTGACCAACCATCTCTTTCTTCTAATCAGGTGAGTTTTATTCAATGTTTATTTTCTAATGTTGCAGCATTTGGAATTAATATTTTTTTGGTAGGTCCTTTGATCTTAATAATCCAATACAAATAACTTGAGGGCCACCCTACAATATTGTCATATGGAATGTCCTATCTTTTACTGGGCATCATGATGCAGGATGCCAGTAGAAATCACTAATTGCAAATTTAGTCGAATTTCTTGTGAAGGGAAAGAGGAGGAAGATGAAGATTTCAGCAGTAGGGAAGAAAAGAGAAGGAGAAAAGAGTAGGAAGTCAACCAAGATTCTTAGATTAACCCTAGCCGCCAACCCCTCATTATATTTATACTTAACTTAAAGGATGAGATATTACAAGGATGCCCTYAGTAGGGTGGCTACTAATGTAGCTGAACAGTCACAACTTAAAAACGTAAACTAATGGGCCTAAAGTTCAACAACTTCCTAACTAAATAACTTAAATTAAGAATAAAAACAACTAGGCCCAACTCAACACTCCCCCTCAAGTTGGGAGTAAATATCACACATTCCCAACTTGCGTAGATCATGTTCTAGCTTGTTCTTTGCAACACCTTTTGTGAGAACATCAGCGAGCTACAGATAAGAAGAAATGTATGGAAGACAAACTTCTCCAGAAGTTACCCTTTCTCTGATAAAATGTCTATCTACTTCAATGTGCTTAGTTCGGTCATGCTGGACTGGGTTATGGGCAATGTTAATTGCTACCTGGTTATCGCAGTACAACATCATAGGTTCTTCTACCTGTACACCAATTTCTTCTAATAGGGAATGAACCCAAACAAGTTCTGAAACTCCATGTGCCATGGCCCTGTATTCAGTTTCAACACTTGATCTTGCTACCACTGCTTGTTTCTTACTCTTCCATGAGACAAGGTTACCCTCAATAAGGGTGCACACTCCTGAAGTTGATCTCCTATCATTAAGGCATCTTGCCCAATCTGCATTCGTATAAGCCTCTAGTTTCAACTGTCCATGATCAGTAAACAATATGCCTCTGCCCGGGTGTCCCTTTAGATAAGCAAGAATCCTGTCAATTGCTTCTCAATGCTGGACTCGTGGAGCATGCATGTATTGACTTACCACACTTACTGCATAGGAAATGTCTGGTCTTGTCATACACAAGTATAGCAACTGACCCACAAGTCTCTGATATCTCCCAATGTCCTTTATTGGCTCACCTTCTGGTGCATTGATTCTATGGTTCTGATCAATAGGGGTATTGATTGCCTTCGTTCCAAGCTTCCCTGCCTCTTGAAGAAGATCCAAGACATACTTCCTTTGAGAGATAAAAATTCC